CTTTAACGAAATAACTTTATCAATGTCGAAGGTAAACTGATAGTGAAAGACCGTAGATTACCAAGTCTGTCTCTTGTATCAAAATTATATGTACACGGTAATAATAATAATAATAATAATAATAATAATAATAATAATAATAATAATAATAATTATATATAATAATAGTAAAAAATTACCACGAGGGCAACGTAATGTACCTAGTTTCATCATGATCGAGTAGAATAGTGAACAAAATCTATTTGAAATTGTTCAATCAGTGTCAATCGTTTAGCAGGCGAATCAACGAATACTATGCAAAATTTATCCGAATGTTACCATTTTTGACTCCCTTTTTTTGTTTGCGAAATAAAGGGCTATACCTAGGCCTTGAAGCGTTCGTTGTTAGAAGAACAAGAGGCGAGGGAAAATTGAAATATCGAATAGTAACGCAAGTACGAAAACATTCTAATTTAATCGTCGAGACCCCGAGGAGTCTCTTCCGAGTAACTCGTGTCGTTTAAGAGTCTTTTCTACCTTCGTGAAACCTCTAAAAAGTGAATTATGTAACAGGACAAGGAGGCCTGCTTCCGCGCGGCTAAATTGTGTTTATAGTTTGTTCTGAGCGAAACCAAATGAGTTCCTATTTATAGCTGTTAAGAATGCGGGAAATCAATGGTATGCGTTTCATTGCCAAAAATCAAGCGCAACCTTTTCATTGGCGGCGGTGGAGGGTCAAGATTCAAGTCGCGTTTCTTGTGCCGTCTTTCACGGTCTCGGGTTTTATGCTTCTTTTTACGTCTACTTCTCTCGACACCCTCCACGCGTAATACTTCATACTCAGGCTCGTAACTGTCTTCGCTAAGACTCGTTCCTGATTCTACGATATCTTCTAGAACTGGCGAACGTTTCATACGAAGAGTGAGCTTTAGCCGGCCAGTTCTCTCTGGGGTGGTTGGACAAACTTGGCAATTTGTGTTGCTCGTTTGCCACTGACACTCTGTCAAGCTGGCTGACTTTTGTGCACTTTCGTTGTTATATGTTGATAATCTGCGAAAGGAATAATATATACATTAAATTACGTCGATACGTTACTTTTTTATATAGAAGTATTACAAATAAAATGATCATATAAATACGTTTGTTGGTTCGCTGTAAATAGAAAATAGTTCGTTGTATATAAAATTGTAGAAAAAAGGAAGAATCACCTTTTCAGACTTTCACCATCGTCCGAGTTCTCCCTTGATTGACTACTGCCGTCCGAATCTGTAAACTGATTTTGATTACAACCCGCAGGTGGCCATGGTTCCTGCGGAACTAATACTGGAGGCTCGGTTTTATTGCATTCATCGCTATATTGCATTTCTTGTAAATGGGATGTAAGCATAGACGTCTGGCGAGTCTCTTGCTTCGCTCGTCGCATTATCGATGGTATTCTAATGTCTTCCAGATTGCTTTCCTTTTCGCTAAATTCATAAATATCACCTTGAATACCCGAATCATCGTCAGCAACGCCGATGTCTGCTGTCGCTATTTTCTGTCGATCCCTTTTTTGATTTCTTGTTAAGCGATTTTTCGTTTTAACCACTTTACTACGAGTCTTCGAGACGGACGTAATCGTATTGTCGGCTGTTTTGTGCTCCACGGCAGTCTCCAATTCTTCTTTCGAACCAGAGGTGACAGACTTCTTGTCGCTGAACAACTTTTTTCTGCTTTTATGAGATCTTAATGTAGCAGTCGATACATCATGTTCCTGCATTGATTGCTTCAAAAGAAAATTCTGGCTACCATCTAAAAGGGTAGCAGCGTCTCCGTAAGTGTTGGACGCTGTTACACCAAAATTCGTACTACTTTCTTTACACGGTTGCATTCGAGAATTCATATCTGTTGTACACGTTTCAATAACGCTTGGTTTTTCGATATTAATTTCAGAATTTTCAACGTTCACTATATACACGTCATTTTTAAGTAATAAATCATTCTGATGAGTCAGTGGTGTATCACGATAACCAACACTTTTCTCTATACTGTTTCCTATATTATTCACCTTATCTTCAACAAAATTATTCTCACTATTATCATCTTTCGCCGAAAACTTTATAGGATTTGGAATAAACGTATTAAATTTTTCAGATTGGTTTTGCATCAAACACTTGATCAAAGCAGCTGAATGTACGGGGTCACCTTTTTTCGATTCTTTAAGCGGATTCTGAGTACCGAACAGTGCGGAAATATTTCTATCACTTTCAATAAAGTTGGTATTCTTAGGCGACTTTATGTGAACCGGAGACGTTTGTTCTTCGATTTTACAGAAGTCTTCTTTCTCCGTAACTTCGTAATTATTTCCTCTATTCTCATCTGAATCTTCCTTTTCCAGTTCTAAAAGTTTCCTAATACAGCTGTCCGACTTTATTGCTGTCATAGACACAGTCTCTATATCCTCCGAATTTTCTGTTAAAGATAAACTATAATGACAGGTCCTCGACTTTTCTTGCGGAATTAATTCTTTGTTACTAGCCACATCTAAATGATCTAAACGAGTTTCGGGTATGGAACTTACATGAACTGAATCACAGGTATTTGTACTATAATGATCTTTTCTAGAATCGGAAGCATTACTATTACCTACTGAATTAGAATTAACTTCTATGTCACAGATTTGTTTTTCGTTTATCGATTCGCTATCCAATTCTTGATTATTTTTCACAAGTAAAGGTGGGTACTCTTTCTGTAAATCAGAACAAGCGGACTTTTCTATTACGTCATGTTGCGGCGTTTGAACGTGGCAAATGTCGTGGATTTCTTCATTCAAGCTGCTTTCAGAATCCGGTTTATGAAGTCTGGAATACACCATCTCCTCGCTTACTTCCACTCTATCAGAATCTTCTTTGCGATGACTTATATCTTCTATTTCAATATTTTTTGCTATGGAACCATTCAACGGAGATCTAGCTTTTTCAGAAACTCTACTCTTTTTGGTTTCTGTTCTTTTGTGTAACCTAGATATGTAAAATAAAAAATATGTTATTTTGTTATATTTAAAATTCTCGTGGAAGATGGTGGCACACTGCAGATAAAGGATTATAAAATCTCACCTGGAGGTCCTAAGAGTTTGATTGTTTTTGACATTATTTTGGTGACCATTGTTATTGTCAAATTTACTAAGTTGCTTATTCCGAAGGTTTCTCGTTACAGAATTAGTAATGGCGGATGGGTGTGGGCGGGTCGCTTGTAATACATTTTCTCCATTGTTTATACTGGGCTGCTGCTGAGCGATATCAGAAAACCGACATCCTTGTGCAATTAATAACTCTGCATCATACTTTGTCAAACCCTTCCTCCGTAACTCCTTCATGCTAAGACTCTGTGGTGCAACTGCGGCGTTACCAACAAGCACCGCATTTCTTTCTGTAAGTGCAGTATCCGCTTGTTGTTTACTGCGATTTAATGGTTGTTGTCTATGTTTCGTACGATTAATACGATTGTCTGTTTCTCTTAGACGATATCCTGTAACAATGTTAAATGTATTAACGACTGTAGACAATGAACTCTATCAATGGTTATCAACTCTAAAAGGTACCAGAGGAAAGTTCTTCGCCTGGCTTTTGATTTGCAAAGGCTCCAGTTCCTCTTCTTTCGCAGGTTTCACATTCGCAATAGCAGTTACCATCCCCAAAAAAATCTTCCCCGTAGAAACAAGTAATTTCTTCACCCACTTCAATATCACGAAGTACCTTAACACAAGCTGTATCTCTTCCTGTTGCCACAAACTGCATTTTGCACAAATTATACATAATAAATTAATATTCTCTGTATACAATGAATATAGTAGAAAGAAAAGTAAATTAAATGTACTTATTAACCTTGCAATTAGCCCTGCAGTCATGATTAATGTATGCTGCTGGACCTAACCACAGCTGAGCACAGTTCTTTCGACAGCTAAACATTACGGAAAAATCGTTTTTTCCAGGATGAAGTAACGCTGCTTCTTCCTAAAATGTAATTTCACATGTAAAAAGAAAAATCTTATTTTTTTTACTTTATCTATACCAGCAAACAAACCTTTTCGCTGAGTTCTGCAATACAACCAACTAGACAGGATATTTTATCGTGTTTCAACCATTTTCGAGTTGCACAAATTTTGGCACCTTTTTGACCCTCTAGAGAATATCTATAACACGGTTCTATTGCAAATCCTGAATCCTTATCAAACACTCTTAAATATCGGTAAATCTATGCAAAAAAAGAAAAGAAAATAATTGATATGGATGGAAATATGAAAAGTATACTAGACATTTCTTCTCTGAGATACAACTCACATGCTTCTCCAAATTTATTTGTTGTTGCTTAGATTTTGTATGTGGAAGTCTTGCACCCCAATCACCACCCATTAATTTCTTATATGTTTTTTCATAATTTTGTGTTTGAATAAATTCACAAATAATTTTTCGAAGTTCCTCTTTATTTGCTTTCAATGGCCTGTACCTTTATAATTAAATGATTTTCATACAGAATTATGCCACAATGTAAAGTGACTATTCCCTTAAAAATATTTACCTAATATTCATTTTATGGGTGGTAAATCCTAAATAAGGATCTAGCACGAGAGAAGTAGCTAGGTCATCATTGTCAGAAAGTTCCTTAGGTGTCATGCCACCACAACTACCAACATTGTTAGGTTGCATTTTGGCACCTACTGACCCACCTAATCTTCGCTCCTGCTTCCGTACTATAGCTGCTGAGCCTTGAATGGATAAGCAATCCACCACCATTCTGTAATCTGTACTGTTACTGAAGAAGAAAAAATACAAAATTAATTAAAAAACAGTTCACATCAGTAAATGACAAGAATTCATTCACAGACTTCTAAGTTTCATGTAAATGTATGAATACACCTTTAAATAAAGGTAATTGAAGAATATATTTCTTTAATTATAGTTTATATTAATCTACTTTCTTATACTTATGAAAAAAATGCAGCTTACACTTATTGACAGAAGATAAAATTGTATAATTATTTTTTAATGTTCCGCATGATCCAACACAAAATATTTTATATTTCTTATTAAAAAGTAAATCACTAGTCTACTCATACTCTGTAAGAAAAAGTAAAGGATGTTCAATATTCAATATCAACTAGATAATTATAATACATTGTAATGTACAAAGCATACAAATGGAATTCTCTTTATCATGTAGCAAAAATTCCTATTCAAAATCATTACTCTTCCATTCGGGAAATGTCATTTACATTTTAAATATACAGAAACAAATGTAAATATGACAAATCATGAAAAGATCAGTGGTACAAGATTCACTGAAAGAAAAAGAAAGAAAAATTTCTATAAAATAATTCACTGGCTTCAAGTGTAATCTACATTGATGACAGACAGACAGACAGACAGAAGTAAACATATTAAATTCAGTATGAAACAGAGGAAAGTAATTAAAAAATATATTCTTTGGTATAGAATGTATTACTAAAAATTTCAAGATAATGACAGTTTAATCGTATCGGTTAACCGATTTAAAAGCTGAAGAAACATTAGTTAACAGAGAAATAAAATATGTACAGATTTGAGGTGGTAGTTGATCGATATTAGGTGTTATTTCGACAATATAACATGAATATCTGGAGATCATGCTCGGAACTCTAATGGCGCAGACGAGCCAGAGCGCTCCTAGAGGCACGCTGCGCTCCAATTTACTAAGAGAATTTCCTTTCTTCTTAATGAATTCACGGATGATCAAAATGTTCGATCTCCATCCTAAAAGTACACTTACCTTAAAGAAGCTCTCCTGACAACAGAAATCACGCATTTTGCTAACAATCTCGGACTTTTTTGGAATAAGACGAAGACGCGTTCGGATCTATCATGGCAGTTCTACTGTAGGCACGCACACTTTCCCTATTTTCGTACTGTAAAGGAACTGATCATTGCACTGAATCGTTGCGATCCTCTAGGAATTTAAACAAGAGTTAACGCACACTTCGCCAAAACAAATTAAGAAACAATAACCATTTAATCGAGAACGTAACCGACAAAATCCATGTTTTGGAACTACAGAATGTCGCGTACGTCATACATATATGTCTTGAACACATCAGTCTAGTAACATTTCTGACTTTACTAAGTTGCCTAAATTACTCTAAAGCTTTCTCGTTTCCAATTTTATACGGAAGATTCACAAGTAGCTTGACAACTAATTACATTACTCCTTGTCTGGATTTCGGTTGCACGTTCAGAGCAACATACATTTTCAGTGAACATTTCTTTCCGTCCCTTGTCATAATCGAACTGAAGTTATCAAGATATTAATTTAGTAACGTGAGATTTTAAAGATGTAACACTGCGTTTCCATGACAACCGTTTTGATGTTTCAGTTCTCTTGCAATGGAAGATTAATGTCAAAATCATTCCACTGGGAATTACTGTTTTGTAACTTTCCATTAATTATTTGTAATCTTTTTTATGAACTTTTCATGTTCTTGTTCTTTTGATACTAATATTATAAGAGCTGCTGAAAGATAAACTTCAATTTGGTAAAATATTTTATATCCAAAATAATTGAGAATTGAAATAAATAAATTGTTTATAAAATAATACATTCACTTTCCTGACGTTAATCTATATATAAGTATTATATAAATATGTCTATATCTACGTACAGGTATATATATACATATGTATACATATATACATAGTGTATATTATTATGTACACGCGATACAGATTACATTTCGTGTTGTTAATTGAATTTCTGTTGAATAAATTCGATAGCTAAGGATCTCAATATGAACCCGAAGGTTGAATTCTATATAAATAGTTTCATTTGTAAACTAACATCGATTGTATACATCGTATGATCAGCAAAAAGAAAACGCTTCAGTAAGAAAACTTGTTCAATGGAAATTTCTTTATCATTGAATGAGAATTTGTTTTGACAACTTAACTCCGATTAAAAATATTACGAAAACAAATAAAAACAACATTAGTATCATTGTAAATATAATTGTTTAATTAAGTGAAACAGCTGATCCACCAGAATTGGAGAGTAGTAAATAAATTGAGAAGTTTATAATGTCAATGTATAAACGACTTTCTACATTGATCACTATCTATTATCATACTTGAACTGTTACCGATCGATGAGTAATGTTTCGTTTTATCAATCACACGCATGTAGTAGATACCTATATTTCAATGCGCTTGCGCATTTTATGTCTGATATCCACAAATCTGTGTTGTGAATGTATTGTGTAAATAAAGATTTAAAGAAGTTGAAATTTTAGGGTTCTAACACTTGTGTAATCAACAAATGTATTTTCCTTCTGTTTTCTTATCAAACGGGAACCAGTAG